GGCTCCATCTCAGCCTTAAGGCCAGCCCCCTCCCTTCCCCATCTCCCCCCCCCCCCCCCCCCCAGAGCCTGCAGGCCCTGAGGCAGCGCTCAGGTCCCAGGGTTACTCAGCCCTCCTTCCGGGTCTGGACCCCTCGTTCTCCTGCTCCCTCTTCAGCCACGTCCTGTGGCCTCTGGGTGACATCTTCCCCTGGCACCACCATGCCACCCTCCTCTGGCACCACCAGCCACACAGTGAGCCCAGACCCTGTCTGCCAGTGAGGCCCCTCTTCACCCCACCCCTCCTCCCAGAGCCCTGCCCACAGGACCCCCTCCTCCCTGCCCCCTCCGAGTCGGCCTCTCCACCTGCAGCCACTCGCACTTCTGCCTCCACTTCCTCCCGGTCCCCCACCCACCTCCCTCCTGAGCAAACTCCTGCTCATCCTTCCACCCAGATGGAAGGTCACCTGGGAGAGAGAAGCCACCACCGGGAGAGGCCACTCTGGTCCCATGCTGCTTGCCTTCTGTCCCCACCGTCCAGCCTCGGCCTCTGGGCGCCCTCTCCCCTCTGGGCGCCCTCTCCCCTCTGGGCGCCCTCTCCTCAGGTCTCTGGGTGCTGCCTCTTCTGGCCGGGAAGCCCTGCAGGTGGGCGGAAAACGGGAGTGTGAGCGGACTAGCCCGCCGGGTCAGGGCTGTGCTGGTCGGGCCATGGGCCTGGGGTCACGCTGGGGGTTCTAGGCTCCATGAGCCCGGGTTCGGGACCCCGCCTACAGCTCCTACCGCCCTGCCCGCCTGGAGCCCGGGACACTCCGCCTCGGGCACGATGCAGGGGAGGAGAGGGGCCTCTGGGTGACATCTAGTCCTTCCCCAGCCCCTGTCCCCAGAGCGGTGACCTCTCGTCCTCCAGGCCTGTGCCGCCCTCTCTCCCCCGAGCCCTGGCCCCGCTTCCCTGGCCACTGAAGCGGCTTAATGAGCCCGAGTCACACGGCCTGCCAGCGCCTGCGGGAGGGCCGAGCCCCCCCGGCTACCGATCGGGCCCTGACGTCAGTGCATTCCGGCCGCCGGGCGGCTAATCTCTGAGCGGCCGCGGCCGGGCCAGGTGAGTCCCGCCGCAGCCAGCGCGGAAGGCCGCGAGTGCCCCGGGGCACCTTGACGCCCCAGGTGGGGCCGGACGGTGGTGGCCAAAGAGCCGCAGTTTGCCGACCACTGCTTAAGCCCGCTGGCCCGAGCCCCCTCTTCCCGTCAGGCCACGTGTCCATCCTGGGCTCCCTCCTTTCCCCGTGTTCGTTCCCCAACCTCGTGCTCAGATCCAGGCACCTCCCCGTCCCCTCCAGCCCCCAGGCCGCAGGCTCAGGACCCCGCCCTGGCTCCAATACCAGCGGCCTCTTGACGGGCATTTCCCGTGGCTGCAGGCCTGGGCATCAGCCTCCCCCCTGCCATTTCCTCTGTGCCACCAGCTTGAGGGGGGCGACACGCGCACGAGGCCTGCAGACGTGGATGCTGTCCGAGCCCCGCTCCCGCGGATGCTGACCCCACGGGGTAACTCGGGCACGTCTTCCCTGCTCACACCGGCCCCAGGAAACACGTGTGCCCCTGCGTGTGTTTTTGTCAACAGTTTTAATGATTCCTTTTTTCTAGAAGCAGATCCGGAAAAGATCACTGAGGATCACGTTCCCTCGAAAGTCAGGAAGATAAAATTATACGCTGACTTAGGGGGAAGGGAAACACTTAAGCTTAAAGTAATTCTTTGCATTTTAATACACCTGCTGTCAATCACGTCCACATTTTTTCCAACGGAAGTCACGGGAGAAGATGAACCAGGAAAAGCACGGCGCCAGCATGTCATTCTTTAGAATTCATTTTCGCGCGTGGGCTTCCGCAGCCGTTTTGGGTTTGAAATGTTGCGTTAACATATTGTTTCATTATTGACATTCCTGGCCCAGCCTCACCTTCGCACCAGAGGGAATGCTCCTTGGCCTCCCCCGGGCCAATCCAGCGATGGTGCCCCAGCTTCCGGGGCTCCCAAGAGCCATCGCCCTCTGCAGCCAGGCCCCCGGCTGGCATTTGGCACGCCTCCCTGTCCCTGCTCCTCTCCAGGGAACGGTGCCCCCAAGCCCCTGGGCCGGATCCGCCCGGCTGTGCCACCAGATGGGCTTCCACCTCAAAACGCCCTCTGGACCCAAGACTGTCCGGTGTCTCCCCCCACCCCCCAGCAAGAGGTCCGAGAGCCCCCTGCCATGCAGCCAGGTGTTCATGGCCGGCCTGGCACCGGCACCAGCACCTCATATGTGCCCACACCTCGCGATAATTAACACCCCCCTCGCCCCAAAAAGGACAGCAGGCCCTCCCCTGGCCAACGCATAATTTTATTTTCCTGCAGAGGCTTATTGCCTAGTGCAGTGGTCGGCAAACCGCGGCTCGCGAGCCACCTGTGGCTCTTTGGCCCCTTGAGCGTGGCTCTTCCACAAAGCACCACGGCCTGGGCGAGTCTATGTTGAAGAGGTGGCGTTAGAAGAAGTTTAAGTTTAAAAAAATGTTGGCTCTCAAAGGAAATTTCAATCGCTGTCCTGTTGATGTTTGGCTCTGCGAGCTCTGAGCTTGCCGACCACGGCCTAGTGCATCTATCGGGGTGCGAGGCGGTGGAAGCTCCTGCAGAGAGGCCCGGCCCAGGAACCAGCAGGGGTGGGTGGCTGTTGGGGCAGGGCGTGGGGATGAGGGAACGTGGGCTTTGTCCCTGACGGGTCAGGCATGGCCGTTACTCCTGCCAGGGACTGAGCCCTAGACTAGATGCTGCTGGCAGGAACCAGGGTCACCTGTTTGCTTGTCACCCCACCTGATGGACCCCTCGGGGCCTCCCCCTGTCCCAATGCCTCTGCCGGCTGATCGATGGAGCTGGACTCTGCCCCAGCCGCCCCTCAGGACAGTGCGACCATTGGCCACCTCGGGTGTCAACAGCACCCTCCCTCACACATCGTCCCCTTGGCCGGCGGCGGGCGCACTGCGGGCGGGCGGGCGGGGCAGGGATCTGGTGTCCAAGGACAGCGGGGGCAGGGCTGGGGGGGAGGGGCTGGGGGCTCCTCTGAGGCTGGTCAGTGGGGACGGGTCCAGCACGAGGCCCGCCCTGGCACCCAGGGGCCCAGGCCTGGCCCCTCACTAACACATGGGTGGGAGCTGCCCAGGCCAGAGCTGGCTTCGACTTTGGACCCCTGAGGCGGCTGGCGGGAGTCACTGGCCCCAGGGCAGACAGGTGTCCGGCGTGTCACATGCAGCGGAGGCCCGGCCGGGCCGATGACAAGCAGCCCGCTCGGAGGAGGACGCGCCTGCCCCCCACAACGCCTGACACGTGTTTGGTGAGGGAGGGCTTTGGCAGAGCCCAGACCCACCGGTGAGTCCCGGCCCGGGCGGGAGGGCAGGACCGGCCAGCGGACACTGCTGAGTCACCGAGTCCCGCCGGCTCCTAGCTGTGGCTGGCTGCGGTGGGTCCTGCGGCCAGTGCCGCCGGCCGGCCGTGAAGGGCAGCGCTGGGCTCGGGGGCACTCGGAGCCACAGGGGAGGGCAGGAACTGCAAGCTAGTGGGACGCAGGGTTTGGCTGGTGGGGCCATGGGCTGGGGTGAGGGGGACCGGGCTGCAGGGCCTCAGCACATGCACGGGGTCAGGAACCTTGCCAGCATCCCAGCCCCCACACCAGTGGGCTGCGGCTGGCACATGGAGGAGCTGGGTCTGGAAGCAAGGACACCTGGGGCCCTGGGGCCTGGTCCAGAGATGAAGTGGGTGGGGCTTGTGGACCAGGGGCGGGGGCCTGTGACAGGGGGCGGGGCCTGGGGCAGGGGCGGGGCCTAGGGGTGGGGGAGGTCCCCCCAGAGGCGTGGGGAGGGGTCCCCACAGGGGCGGGGAGCACGGGGCGGGGGGCGGGGGCAGCGCACCTCAGAAGAGGCCGCAGTCCTTGAGGTTCTCCTTGATGATGATGTCGGTGACGGCGTCGAAGACGAACTTGACGTTCTGCGTGTCGGTGGCGCACGTCATGTGGGAGTAGATCTCCTTCACGTCGCGCCGCATGTTGAGCTCCAGGAACTGCACTTTGATGTAGTTGCCCGCGTCGTCGTACGTGTTGGGCCCTGGGGGGCGGGGAAGGAAGGCGGCGCTCACTCCCGCCGCCGCGGCCGCTCCCGGGGAGGGCGCCCCCGGCGGCCGGCGGGCTCACCGTCGTAGTCGGGGAAGCAGATGCTCAGGTGCGCCTTCTTGATCTTCTCGGAGAACACGTCCTTCTTGTTGAGGAAGAGCACGATGGACGTGGTGGCGAAGTAGCGGTGGTTGCAGATGCTGTTGAACAGGTGCAGGCTCTCGTGCATGCGGTTCTGCGGAGGGCGGCGCGGTCGGGCACGGGGGCGCGGGAGGCTTAGGGCCAGCCCCCCCGAACCCCGAACCCCGAACCCTCTGCGCGGCCCGCGGGCGGGCACGCACCACCTCGTCGTCCTCCACCAGCACCATGTCGTAGGCGCTCAGCGCCGCGATGAAGATGATGCAGGTCACGCCCTCGAAGCAGTGGATCCACTTCTTGCGCTCGGAGCGCTGGCCGCCCACGTCGAACATCCTGCGGGCGGCGGGCGGCGCCTGAACCCGGGCCCCGGGCCCGGCCGCGCCCCCAGGCCTCCCCGCGCTCCCGGGCCGGCGGGCGGCGGGCGAGGCCGGCGGGGGGCCCGGGTCCCGCCTAGAGCCGGGCTCGGGCGGTGACTTCGGGGCGCTGGGGGCTGGGAGGGGGCGGCGGGCGGTACCGGAAGTTGAGGTCCTTGAAGGAGAACTGGGTCTCGATGATGCCGGTGGTCTTGACCCGCGAGCGCAGCACGTCCTGCTCGGTGGGCACGTAGCCGGGCGTCACGAGGCGCGCCAGGTCGGAGAGGTAGCTGCGGAGAGCGCGGCGGTGGGTGCGGGCGGCGCGGGGCGCGGGGCGCGGGCGGCGGCGGCCTGGGGTGGGGGGGTCCCCCCAGAGGCGTGGGGAGGGGTCCCGCGCCCGCGCCGCTCACTAGCCCGCCGAGTCGTTGAGCTGGTACTCCGAGGCGCGCTCGAAGCAGGCCTGGATGCCCGCGTCCTCCCACAGCCGCTGGATGAGGTCCGACATCTCCTTGGGCATCGTGCCCTCCTCGATGGTGTCCGCCATGTGCACCAGCTTCCGGGCGTCGTCCTGGGCACACGGCGGGCGGGGGGGGGGGGTCGTGACCCGGGCTCGGCCCGGCCTCGCGCCCCGAGTCCGCGGAGCCCCCGCCGCCCGCCCCCGCGGCCCCGCCGCGCACCTGGCGCGCCGAGTCGCCGTACTGGATGTTGAGCGTGGACATGGCGCGCACGATGGCCAGGATGGACTGCAGCGTGTTGCCGTAGATGATGGCGATGAACTCCAGGCACTCCTCCAGCGAGTACCCGTCCTGGTGGATGATCCTGCGGCGGGCGCGCCGGGCTCAGCGCCTCCTCGCGGCCGCGCGGGGGAAGGACAGGCCCCGCGCGCACGCCCCGCCCCAGCCCGCGGCCTCCCCCGGGGACACTCACTTCATCTGCTTGACGATGGTGCTCTTCCCCGACTCGCCGGCCCCTGGAAGGGAGGCCCGGCCTCTGAGCCGCGCTGACCGCATCTCCCCTCCCCCTCCCCCGCCCCTCCCCACGCCCACCCTGCACCAGGCCCGCAAGACGGCTAGGCCGACCCAGAGCGCCCACCTGGCTCCCCCTCACGCCCAGAGTAGGGCCCGACACCCTGGCAGGAAGACGTTTGTAAAGCCCGGCGGAGGGGACCCACGACCTCAGCTGCGCTGGGGCACCCCCAAACCCAGGCTTACGCGGGCTAGTCGTTTGAGACCCAAAACTAAGCCGGGAGCGCCCCCTTGTGGAGATAGTTGGTGCCGCAGCACGGGGTCATCGGACCGGGTCAGCCCCGTTTCTCCGCTGGGGCAGGGAGTGTGTCCCTGAGGCTCAGAGGGCATTAGCGCCTTTTGGGGGGGCGGGGGCGGCGGGGGGGACCTAAGGGGAGGAAGACAGCTGACAGCCCCCGTAAGCCTGTTCTTGCCAGGGCGCTGGGCACAGTTAATGGGATTTCTGGCTTAGTCTCTGGGCCTGGAGAGCCTGGGTGGAGCCTGCACCCCTCAAAGCATCTCTTCCCCTGGGGAGTGGCAGAGGCCTCGGGGCACTGGTCCACCCTGTCCCCTCGCTGCCTGGGGCCGCGGGCCTGCTTATGGTCCCCCTGGGCCTCAGCACAGGCCTCCCCTGAGCTGCTTTGCAGGTCCGCCTGCAACGAAGCTCTGGAGCCGGGGCCACTGTGTGGCTCTGGGCGGTTCTAGAGGCGGGAGCACAGACTCCTTCCCCGGGCGCCCTGTCTGGGGTTTCCCAGGAGGCCCTGGTTCTGAGCCGTGCCCCAGCCAGAGCGGACGTGTGCCCAGCGCCCACTTCTCCGGAGGGTCCACGATGCCCGAGTCCGCGGAGCTCCCCGCCCTGAGTCCGCGGATGCCCGGAGTCCGCGGAGCCCCCGGACGCGGCACCCTGGCTCCCCACAACTGGGCCAGCTGTGGGGAGCCAGGGTGCCGCGTCCGGGCTGGCCAGGCCTCTGACGGGGCAGCCCTGGCCCACGCCCTACCCAGCAGCAGCAGCTTCACGGTGCGGGCGTCCTTTTCAGCGTCCTCCTTCAGCTTCTTCTCCAGCTCCCGCGAGTGCTTCTCCTCGGCGCTGGCCCCGGCCCCCATGGCGGCGGCCCGTCAGGGCGGTGCGGACGGGGCTCCCAGGCCAGGCTCAGCGCCCAGCACACCCTCTGGCCGGACCGTGGAGCAATGGACCGGCTCCCCCAGCGGGGCAGGCCTGGGGGCGCTTAGCGGGATTTGGGTGCCGGGGTGCCCAGGAGCCAATCGGAGACAAGGACGGGGCACCAGCTCAGCCAGGCCCTCTAATCAGGCTACATGGCCCCAATCCCCCAAGTGCTGACTCTGCACCCCTCACTCTCCCGGCTCCTCAGGAGACCCCGGAGAGGCCCAGCCCTGCCTGGCACGGGGCTGGCCTGCAGGGTCCCGGCCAGAAAGGGAGCCGGGGCGGGGAGAGGGAGAAGCAGGCCCAGCACCTGCCGTGCCCAGCGCTGGGCTCTGCACTCATTGTGTGAGCTCCGCCCGCCCTGGGCGAGCGCCCACCCCGTCAGGGCCGAGGGAGGAGGGGCCGAGGGGGGAGGGGCTGAGGGAGGAGGGGCCGAGGGAGGAGGCGCCGAGGGGGGAGGGGCTGAGGGGGGAGAGGCTGAGGGGGGAGGGGCCGAGGGGCTGAGGGAGGAGGGGCTGAGGGAGGAGGGGCTGAGGGAGGAGGGGCTGAGGGGGGAGAGGCTGAGGGAGGAGGGGCTGAGGGGCTGAGGGAGGAGGGGCTGAGGGGGGAGGGGCCGAGGGGCTGAGGGAGGAGGAGCTGAGGGGGGAGGCGCTGAGGGGGCTGAGGGAGAAGAGGCGGAGCCACAGGGTAGGAGGTGGCTGAGTGGAGTTGGTGACTCAGGCATTTGGCTCCAGGCTCTTCAGGGGGTCAAGAGGCAGAGGAGGACATTCCGTTTGTGCCAGAGGCTGGCGGGGCCTGGACATGCCGTGATGCCGGTGGACTTGGGAGGGTGCATGCCTGCTGAATGCCTGGGTCATGTCTGTCCTTTACCGGCACCACGTAGAGCAATGGCATGACACACGTTTGTCTGTCTACAGTTCCGTGTACATGTGCTCATATGTGCGCCTGTGAGTGCATGAGTGTGCCCATGCACACCTGATTGTGTACAAGCATGTGCTTCTGTATAGTTCTCTTCGTGCACACACAAGCTTACACACACACATGCATGTGTGTATGCATCTATAAATGCATGTACATGTGCATGTATTTATGCATGTGCCCGTGCACATGTACGTGTGTGTGTGCATGCACACGGTCATGTGCCTGCTTGCACGTGTACTCCAGTGCAGTATGGTCTCTGACCAGCAGAGGGGGCCAGGCTCTTGCAGAGCACGTTTGGCAGGTCTGTTGTCAGCTGGGGAAACTGAGTCTGGAGCAGGTCTGGCCCTCCCATGGGAGGGGCCCTGGGCTCTGTGCCTGCCCGGGGCCTGTGGTGTCCTGGGAGCTGCTCAGGAGTCGGAGGCACACGGCCAGGGCTCCGTGGTCTGGGGGCGTGGGTGCGGGCGGTACGGTGCGCTGTGGGATGGAGTGTTGGCTCCCGCCGGCTCCCTCAGGGCCCTGAGCCTCCCTCTGGCTCCTCCGGGACCCTGGCCACCTTCTCAGGCCGCTCCATCTGCCACCAGGAGCCCGACCACCCCCATGGCTTCCCCACCTCTCCTGCTGGGGGAGGGGCTGTCCGGGGGCCTCAGTTTCATTCGTCCTCCACCCACCTCTGCCAGGGCGTGGGGTGCAGGAGCCCAGGCTGGGTAAGCCCCCAACACCTGTCTTGTGCATCCTGAGTTTATTTAAAGTGAGGCCAACCCACTGTCCTCTCGTCCCTCCCTGGCTCCCGGCCTCCAGGCCTGGCCTTCGCCCGCTGGACCCACAGGCCTCCCAGGGCTCCGCGCTGCCGGCCCGATGCAGCCCGTCCGGGCTCTCAGCCGCCGCCTCCACCTGGGCTGAGCCGAGGGCAGGCAGGCAGGGTGGGGCTGCGGCGAGGGAGGTGGCTGTGACCTGCCTCAGTGCGGGCACCAGGCCGGACACGGCGCCGGGCGAGCTGAAGGACCGACAACAGGAGGGGAGTGCCTGCAGGGGAGGACGTTGGGTATGGGTACCAGGCTGCACAGGGCGAGGGGGCAGCAGCGGCCGACCTGGGCATGGGCTAGCCCCACCCTCCTGCCTCTGCCAAGGAGAAGCCGCAGTCCAGTCCCAGAGCCAGTGTTTATTAACAAGATGGAGCCCAGGGGGGCCGGGGCAGCGAGGGCCTCCGGGAGCCCCATCCACCTGCCCCCCAGAGCTATGTACACCCCTCACCCAGGGCGGGCGCAGGAGGGAGCCCCGGCCGACCCCAGGCTTGTGCCTGCAGCCCCGCCAGTGGCCAGCCCAGAGGGCGCGGCCAGGCAGGGAGGGCTGATGGGCCCCCGTCCACAGCGTCCTCTTCTCATCCCCAATAAATAGAGAATAAATACCCGGGCGGGCTGGCCTTGACCCAGCCCTTCCCAGGCAGGCCGTCCATGATGGCCGCACGCCTCGCCCCCTCCCGCCCGTCTGCGGCGTCCTCGGCCCGGCACAGCGCGCGCCGGCGAGGGGTCCAGTCCGTGCCGTCGGGGCGCGCTCCTGTGTCCCGTGGGTCCGTGTCCCGTGGGTCCCGGCAGCGGCGTGGCCGGCGGCTGTGGCGGGTGACCCGGTGGCGGGGCCGTGCAGTCCGGGCCTGGCCGCTGGCTGTGAGGCCAAGTGGCCCATTCTCTGCGTCCATCTCTGACCGGCCCGGACGGGTGTGCCGATGCCGCCGCCCGGGCAGGCTGTGTACAACCACCAATAAATACTGTCTCTGAGGGGCGGTGTGTATAGAATATAGACGTTTTATATATATATATCTATATATCTTTATATTAAAAGGGACGGGCGAGGCGCGCGGGGCCGGCGGCCGCCTCAGGTGTCCGGGGCGTGGTGGCGGCGGTTCCGGGGCTTTTTCTGGTCCTGGGGCTCGGGGGGCCGGGGGGCGGCGGGCTCCCGGGGCCCGGGGGGCACGGGGCGCCAGTAGCCCTGGCAGTACTGGTGGAGGAGGCCCACCTCGGGCCGGGCCAGCAGCTGCGCCAGCTCCTGGTACGAGGGCGTCGGGGGGCCGGCGCCGGGGGCGGGCGGGGCGCTGGCGGCCGGCGGCGGGAAGAGGGCGGCGTGCACGGCGTCCCGGCCCAGCACGTGCAGCTGCACCCGCGTGACCACGTGCTTGAAGTTGTTCTCGGTGGCCGTGCACGAGTACAGGCCGCGGTCGCCCGGCTGCAGCGCGCGGAGCAGCAGGCCCTGGTCCGTGCGCAGCAGGCGCTCCTCCGCCCGGATCTGCGGGGCAGGGGGGGCTCGGCTGTGACCCCTCACCGGGCAGCGGGGGAGGCTGTGACCCGTCCCCTGGGCAGGGGGGTGCTCAGGCTGTGACCCCTCACCGGGCAGCGGGGGAGGCTGTGACCCCTCACCGGGCAGAGGGGGAGGCTGTGACCCGTCCCCCGGGCAGGGGGCTCGGCTGTGGCCCCGTCCCCCGGGCAGGGGGTGCTCAGGCTGTGACCCCTCACCGGGCAGCGGGGGAGGCTGTGACCCGTCCCCTGGGCAGGGGGGTGCTCAGGCTGTGACCCCTCACCGGGCAGCGGGGGAGGCTGTGACCCGTCCCCCGGGCAGGGGGCTCGGCTGTGGCCCCGTCCCCCGGGCAGGGGGCTCGGCTGTGGCCCTGCCGCCGGCGGCTCTGGCTCAGCCCCGTGCCACCCGTGGGAGCTCCCACGTGCAGGTTTCCCACATCGGGACGCGCGTTCGCACGGCCCCTCCCGGGGCGGCCACGGGCAGTGCGGCGAGCGCTGCGGAGCACCACGGAGAATGGCGGCTCCATGAGCACACCCAGCCGGGCTCCCTCAGAACGTCCACCTGAGAGGTGCCGGGATTCCACCCCTGGAGCGCCCCCGGGACGGCCCTGCATGGGCGCCCTGGGGCGGGGCGGGCGCAGGGAAGAGGCGCCGGGACTGGTCCTCTGGCCTCCGAGCCCCCGTCCCGGTGCCGGGGGGTCCTCACGGGAGGGGGGTCCTCACTCCGAGCTGCCCCGTGGCTCTGCCCGCCTTCACTCAGGGGCGTCCGCGCTCAGAGGGCCCTGCCGGGGGGAGGGGGGACAGGGGGCCAATCACCTCGCGGCGCCGGTCGCTGGGGTCGCGCTGGAACAGCCACTTGACGGCGGCCTGGGGCGAGCGGGGCTGGCACTCCAGGAAGGCGGCGCTGCCCGCCACGCCGTACTGCACCGCCTCCACCGCGTTCTTGTTGGCTGCGGGCGGCGGGCCGGTGAGGCAGCTGCCGGGCAGGGCCCCCACCCACCCCGCCGGAGGGTGCTGGGACACCAGTGCTGAAGCCCCAAGCCCCTCACCCCTGCGGGCAGCCTGAGACCCTTCCCCTGGGCCTGGGGAGAGCCTGGTGGCTGGCGGGGGTAGGGCAGGGGGGGATGGGGAGGAGGTGGAATGGGGGCGGGGTAGGGCAGGGGGCGGGGTGGGGGCGGGGCAGGGGACGCTGGCGCACGCACTCACCGTTGGAGTTGAAGCCGCGGCACTGCCGGATGGGGTTCCCGTGCCGGACGTCCTGCCGGCGGCTCCGCCTGGGAGGAGAGCCGCGGACGGGCCGCCTAAGGAACCAGCCCCACCCCCCCCCGGACCCCACACCCGAGACCAGGTCACAGACTCCTCCTGGGTGCTGGCACCCCCACCCCCCGGGGCCTGGGCCGGGGCACCCCCCGCCCCTCGGGCCTGGGCCTGGGCACCCCCACCCCCCGGGGCCTGGGCCGGGGCGGACCGGGCCGGCCGGGCGCACCTTTTGGAGGAGGCCGTGTAGCGGGAGCAGGCCTGGCCGTCCCAGGCGCAGTAGGGGTCCCGGGCGAGGCAGCAGTCGGCGCAGGCGGCCCCGTAGGCCTGGCAGCGGTGCAGACTCAGGTGTGTGACACCCACGGCCGAGGCCACGTACAGTTGTTGCTGGGGGAGGGAGAGGGGGAGGGGGAGGGTTAGTTCCCCCAGCTGGGCGGGCCCCTTCCCATCCTGCCCCGTGCCTCAGTTTCCCCACCCCTGTGCCCAGGGCACGACTCCCAAGGGGAGCAGGCTCTGCCCTCCCCGCAGCCGGCCTCCCGGAAGCTCACCCTCTTGGAGGAGATGGTCATGGTCTTGACGGGCGCGGGGTCCTGGGAAGAGGGAAGGGTTGGCGTGGGGCTCTGGGACCTCCCGGCCCCGCCCGGAGGCTCTGGGCCGGCGCGGGCACAGAGGGCGGGCACCGAGGGCGGGCACACCCACCTTAAACACCTCCACCTCCTCCAGCATGAGCTCCTCCACCTCCTGGTCATCCTTGGGCAGCACGATGACCTTCTGCACTGTGCCGCGGTCTGGAACGGGCCGGGCAGGGCCTCAGGGGCTGAGGGCGCTGGGGGAGGGGCACCGGCCTCAGCCCCGTCCCCACCGGGGCCCGACCCCGAGGGCAGTGCCAGCGGCTCTGTGCCAGGGCCGGAGCCTCCCGGTGACGGGAGAGGCCTCAGAGGACCGGCCGGGGTCGGGGGCGCCCCCACCAGACCCCGCTGGGCACCGGCGGAGCGGGCGCCAGTGGCCCGTGCCGAGGCGGCGGGAGCCACGGGGGTGCGCTTCACGAGGGCGCCTACGAGAGCCTGTGTTGGGACCCCCATATCCTGGAGGCGTCTGCCATGCCCCCCCCTCCTGCTCCTCCATGGTGCCCGTCCCCCAGGGGTGAGGACGGGGTCTGCCCACCCCTCCTCCGTCATCCTGGCACCAGGGAGACGGCTCCGGAGGACGGAGGGGGCGGAGTCGGCCTTGACCAGCCTGTGGCCACCCCTCCGCCCCGGCCCCAGCCCCTGGGAGAAGCACCCTCCACCCCGGGGCCCAGCAGGAGGGCAGGGAGCAGCAGTGGGTACCTGTGCCCAGGAAAAGCACCTCATAGCGCCCGTCGGCTGCATCCACCTGGTCCACGGCGACGGTGGTGAGCCGGTAGGGGGCGCCCGTGCGGACCACCAGGGGCCGCCGCTGCAGCGGGTACACGGGCTGGTACATGAGCGGGTGGCTGCGCATGAAGTTGATGACCTCGTCGGGGTAGTCCTTGGTGGACTTCATGGAAGGCGTGAAGGTCCCGCCCGGGCACTGCGGGCAGGCGAGCGGTCAGGCCCAGGCCGCCGGGGCTCCCGGGCCCAGCCGCCGCGGGAGGCCTGACTGCCTGCCCACCTGGACCCACGGCCGCAGGACAGGCCTCTGTCTGTCGTCTGTCTGTCTGTCTGCCCGCCCACCACTCGCCGCTTGCTCCTCAGTCAGCCAGGCGTCTGCCCTGCCCCAGCCTCTGCAGCGCCCGCTCCAGGGGAGGCCCAGGCCCCACAGTGCCAACCCCACGCCACCTCCCTGGCCCCATGTGCCAGGCCTATGGCCACCTTCTGCAGAGCTGACCACTCCCGCCCCCGCCCCCGCCCCCGCCCTGAAGTCTCCTTCCCCTGGATGCTCCTCACGCCGCCCCAGCCGCCCGCTCAGCAGGCCTGCAGGCCCTGAACTCCTTCAGCACCGGCTACCCCTCCCCTCCCGCCCCCGGCCCAGCCTCCCAGTTCTGCTGACTGCCCGGAGTGGTGCTGCCGCGGCACTGGACCAGCCGCACTGCCTCCTGTGGCCTTGAACCCCAAGATCAAGGAATCATCTCCACCAACCGCCCCTCACCTACCGCTGCCCCACGCTGACCAGCCCGCCTCCGCGTCTGCCCTGGGCTCTTCCCCCAACGTCAGCCCCCAAGCAGCCCACCCCCAGGAGCCGCCCGTGCCCCCAGGAGCGCCCCCAGGAGCCGCCCGTGCCCCCAGGAGCGCCCCCAGGAGCCGCCGCCGCACCGCCCACCAGCTCTGCTCCCGGACCTGGCTGAGCTGGTCCCAGGCTGTGGTGTTTTTAACACTTCAGCCTTACTGGCCTGGCGCAGCAGATAAAGCATCGGCCCGTGGCCTGAAAGTCCCCCGGTTCGATTCCGGTCAAGGGCACGTACCTCGTTCCTCCGTTGCAGGTTCCATCCCCAGCCCTGACTGGGCCTTGTGTGGGAGACACCCCATCGATGTGTCCCTCCCATCGACGTTTCTCTGCCTCCCCCTCCCTCCGCCCTCTCACACGGGAAGTGCGCCAGGTGCCGACTGGGAAGCCAGAGGGGCCCCAGCTGCGGCGAAGGGGCTGCCGGTGCGCCCGCCCCGCTGGGCCGGGCCGGGCCGGGCCGGGCCGCGGGGAGGCCGGCGGCGCTCACCGTGCCGGGCCGCGGGTACGGCATCTTCCCGGAGAAAGGCATCCACTGGTAGTTGGGGCCCTCCTTGTGCGCGAAGGGCCCGTTGAAGACCATGCGGATGTCGGCCATGGAGTACACGCACACGGCGGAGCCTCGGAACACGGAGCTGCCCGGGCGGGCGCGGCTGGTACCAGGCGGACCTGGGCCCAGGCCTCCCGTCCACGCCCCTCACAGCGCCTGAGGGCCGGACTCCACGACTCGTGGCCCCCAACCCCACCCGTGGCCCCCAACCCCACCTCACCGCCCAAGGCACCCGCCTCACCCGCCCCGGCACCCAGCACCCCGCCTCACCTGGAGGAACCCCGTCTCACCTGGAGGGACCCCGCCTCACCTGCCCCCCACTCCCCCGACACCCAGCACCCCGCCTCACCCGGAGGAACCCCGTCTCACCCGGAGGGACCCCGCCTCACCTATGCCCCACTCCCCCGGCACCCAGCACCCCGCCTCACCCCGAGGAGGTGAAGACGGCGTAGATGACCGGGTTCCGCACGTCCTGGGTCTGCTGCACAAACACGTCCTCTGGGGAGAGGAGCGGCCGCTGGAGGGCGTGTGGCGGGAGCCGGGGAGCCGCCCCCGGGCTCGGACCCCCCCCCCCCCCCCCCGGCTCGGACCCCGCCCGGCCCGGACTCACGGAGCTCGTCGAAGTGCGTCTCGATGCCGTCGTGGCCGGGCACGGAGCACACCAGCCGCGCCTTCAGGAAGGTGCTCCACTTGTTGACCAGGCAGCAGTGGCCGCCGTCGTCGTTCTGGGGGGCAGGGCGGTCAGTGGGGCCCGGCCCCTCGGCCCCGCCCGCCGGCCGGAGGGCGTCAGGGCAGAGCCGGCCTACCAGGCAGATGCGGCCGATGCGGGCGTACACGGCGGGGCTCTGCGGCGCCTCGGCCGAGCGCTCGCGGAAGAAGAAGTACAGCTTGTCGTCGTTGCGCTCCGCGCTGTCCGGGATCAGCTCCGCGTGGATGAAGGAGGGGTCTGCGGGGCACGGGCGTCAGCGGGCAGCCCCCCACCCAGGGGCACCTGACCGCTCCCCCCCCCCACCCAGGGGCACCTGACCGCTCCCCCCCCATCCAGGGGCACCCGACCCCTCCCCAGCCCTCCCCCACCCAGGGGCACCTGACCGCTCCCCCCCCCACCCAGGGGCACCTGACCGCTCCCCCCCCATCCAGGGGCACCCGACCCCTCCCCAGCCCTCCCCCATCCAGGGGCACCTGACCGCTCCCCCCCCCCATCCAGGGGCACCCCAACCCCTCCCCAACCCCCACCCCCATCCAGGGGCACCTGACCGCTCCCCCCCCCATCCAGGGGCACCCGACCCCTCCCCAGCCCTCCCCCATCCAGGGGCACCCAACCCCTCTCCAGCCCCCCATCCAGGGGCACCCAACCCCTCCCCAGCCCCCACCCCCATCCAGGGGCACCCGACCCCTCCCCAGCCCTCCCCCATCCAGGGGCACCCAACCCCTCTCCAGCCCCCCATCCAGGGGCACCCAACCCCTCCCCAGCCCCCACCCCCATCCAGGGGCACCCGACCCCTCCCCAGCCCCCCCATCCAGGGGCACCCAACCCCCCCCATCCAGGGGCACCCGACCCCTCCCCAACCCCCACCCCCATCCAGGGGCACCCGACCCCTCCCCAGCCCCCCCACCCAGGGGCACCCCAACCCCTCCCCCACCCCCATCCAGGGGCACCCGACCCCTCCCCAGCCCCCTCATCCAGGGGCACCCAACCCCTCCCCAGCCCCCCCATCCAGGGGCACCCGACCCCTCCCCAACCCCCACCCCCATCCAGGGAACCCGACCCCTCCCCAGCCCCCCCATCCAGGGACACCCAACCCCTCCCCAACCCCCCCCCATCCAGGGACACCCAACCCCTCCCCAACCCCCCCCCATCCAGGGACACCCAACCCCTCCCCAACCCCCCCATCCAGGGGCACCCGACCCCTCCCCAGCCCCCCCATCCAGGGGCACCCGACCCCTCCCCAGCCCCCCCCCATCCAGGGGCACCCGACCCCTCCCCAGCCCCCCCATCCAGGGGCACCCGACCCCTCCCCAACCCCCCCCCCATCCAGGGGCACCCAACCCCTCTCCAGCCCCCCCATCCAGGGGCACCCGACCCCTCCCCAGCCCCCCCATCCAGGGGCACCCGACCCCTCCCCAGCCAGGCACAGGGCTGGGAATCCCGCGATGTCCCAGACCTGCCGCCCGGGGCGGGGCCCGGGGCGGGGGGGCGGGGCCCAGGGCGGGCTCACCGTTGAGCCAGCGGGAGTTGTGCTGGTCGGTGCGCATGGCCGTCTGCTTGCCCAGCGTGCGGAAGATGGCCGCGTCCGTGCCCATGAAGTCGATGTACACGCCCGCATACAGCTCCTCGTCTGCGGACCGAGGGGTCGGTCAGGGGCCGGAGCCGCACCCGGAGCCACTGACTGCGGGGCGGGCTGCCTCCCCGGCTGCCCAGGGCCTGGTGAGGGGGTGCTGGCCATCTGGGACGGGCCCTGGGGACGGGTCAGCACCGGAGCCCATTTCTGGGGAGACCTCTGGGGTGGCTGCTGCAGGCTGCGAGCCGGGCGGCCCTGACGGCGGCCCACCCCACCACTCACAGGGCATCTCCGGGGCGGGTGACAGGCAGTGCCAGACGCCAGGAAGCGGCGAGCTGAGTGCGCGTCCCTTTTTAAAAGAACTGGTTCACCTGTGACTTCCCAGACGTTAGTTCTAATCACAGCTCCGCCCCGAGGGTGCCGGCCCCTGGCCCGCTCCCAGCCTCCCCGGCGGGCCCGGCCCCGCAGCCGCCTTGGCTGGGCTTTGCCATCAGGCTGGGACCTTCTCGCTCGCCAGGATGGGAGGAAATGCCCACCCCCTGCCCCAGGGCCTGGCGCCGCGCAGGCGGCATGGTGCCCAGCTGGTGCTCCGAGGCAGGACGGTGCGGGTCCAGGGTCAGCAGGGGGCTCGCCCCTGTGGGCAGGGGTGGCAGCTGCTCCTGAGGCCCAGACAGGACCCCTCCCTCCTGAGAGAACATCCCCCAACCTCCCCAGACACCTGGCCAGACCAAAACACTGCCCACCGGTCACGGGGCCGGGACTCCCCGGGGTGCATCCTGCGGCCTCTCCCAGCCCCCAGGCAAACCGAGGACACGCGATGGATCATCGCCCCCCGACTCCCCTTCACCCCCCCCCCCCACTCAGCCTGTCCTGTCCCCGCCTCCAGGCTGCCCGCGGTCACACTAGATTGTGTGTGTGTGTGTGTGTGTGTGTGTGGTCTGACCCTCCACATCACCACCCGCCCCATCTCTGCCCCTCAGCTCCCTCACACTGGGGCCTGCTGTAGCCCTCCCCCCTCCAGGTGAGGCCCACTGGGGGGTTCAGGGCACCACCCCGCTCGGAAGCAGAGTTCCAGGGGGTGGGACGGGGGGGGGCACTCACTGATGAGGGCCGAGGCCGTGTCCAGCTTGGGGTCATAGGGACACTTGCCCTTCCCGGACTCCAGTCTCTCGGGCTCCAGGTGGAAGATGTAGTCCTGCAGGCAGAGGGCGGCTCAGCACGCCGGGCGGCCCCCCGGCCGAGCAAGGGCAGGTCCGCAGCCCCGGGGGCCCCCTCCCCAGATCCCCGGTCCAGCCAGCGGCCAGGGCAGGGCCACTCTGCAGGTTCCCGGGGCACTGCCTGGGCCCAGGTCTGGGCGCTCGGCTCCCAGGCCTGCAGCCCCCACGCCCGCCGGGGCAGGGGGGTGGGTGAGGCCTGCTTGGGCCCAGAGGCGCAGCTCTGAGCTGTGTGGTCTGCGCTGGGCCCAGGACAGCCACCTGGTCAGGGTGGGGGCACGGCCACGGGCCTGGGTCCTGTCCTTTGCCCTCAGGTCCCACCAGGTCAGAGGGCTCTGCGGTCACCCACGTACTCGGACTGACTGATAGGCCACGGCCTTCTGCCTGCCCCCCGTGGGCCTCCAGGTTTCCCCCGGCAGCCAGGCATGGAAGGGTCCCCCCCAAACCACACGGAATTGACAAAGCCTCCCGCCCACCCCGCCCCGCCCGCCCCGGGGATGCCAGGAGGGAGGCTGGGAAGGCACAGAGACGGGGAGGGGCTCCTGGGAGAAGGAGGGGGGGAGGCGCAGAGGCAGGGGTGCAGCGGGTGGCGGGGGAGGAGATGGGAGGTGTGTACAGGCCCGTCTCCAGTTTCTCGCTGCACACGCGACTTCCAGCACACATGGGGCTGCACACACACTGGGCATGCTCACTGCAGTTTGCACACTCGGCTGGGCACGCTCACTGCAGTTGCACACTCGGCTGGGCACGCTCACTGCAGTTGCACACTCGGCTGGGCACACTCACGGCAGCACACGGCGCCCACTGTTCGCACACGTAGTCTGATGGTCCCCATTCTCAGTATTGCCCGCCACAGACACACATGTTCTCAACCATCTGCTCTCACTCACCGGCAGCCCCTGGCCCCCTGCCCGCCCCTGCCCAGCCCCCAGCCCAGCCTCAGGTCAGGACAGTGACAGACAGCTCTGCCCCTCCCGCCCGAGCCAACCAGGGGCCCACAGAGGCCCGGGGCATGGAGAGATGCCGGACTGCACACACGTGCCATGTTCCCACTCGGGGTGCTGAGCAAACGTGTGCCCATACGTATGTTGGCATGTGTTTGTGCATGTCTACACACACGTGTTCTGAGGGCTCAGGCTTCCGTCTTCCCCACCTGGTGGCTTCACGATTTCTCGCCTGCGAGGTGCACACAAGCGGACGTGAATCCCGGGACCTTCAGTCGCTGCAGGGGAGGGGCTGGGGGGGCACAGAGGTGGGGGATCCGGGGAGGCCGGCCTGGGCATGGGTCCTGGCAGGGGGCCAGGCCCGGAGGGGCTCAGCTCAGAGCCGGGCGCCCGGCGTGGGCCTGGAGGAGGAGCCCACCTGGCGTGGGGCTGTGGGCGTTGGGCGGAGGGCACCGTCCGTGGCTCTGCTGCCTCGGCCTCTGACCACCTGCGTCTGGGTCCAGGGCGTGGCCTGAGGAAACAGGAACCGGTTAGAGCCGGGGGGAGGGGGGCAGGGGCTGGGAGCGGGCTCGGGCTGCCGCCTCACACACCACACACGCCAGGAACACACGTGAGCACCGGGGCTCCCAGAGTACACAGAGCGCCTGTGCGTGCACACATACACAGCGAGGCGCACACCTGCACACACGTGCCCTCGGACCTGTCACTCTCACACACGCTCCACGCGGTCGCGCCAGCCACACACGCGCCCACACAGAAATGGAAAAGGGCAGAAGCGGCAGGGCAGGCAGAGCTGGGGAAGGGCTGAGTGGCAGGAGCCGGCCCGGCGTCCCGCCGCCAGGCCGGGCCGCGGTGGAGCCGCCTGCTAGGAGCCGGCCGGGCAGAGCTCGGGGAGAGAGCTCACCGCCTCTCCTCTCACCACCTGTGAGAAAGGCGCTGTCAGCGTGTCTGGGCGCGGAGACGGCTCTGCGCGGCGAGGGTGGCCACTCACCGGCGTCCCAGGACCTGGACGGAGCCTCCCTGCGGGGCGGGGCGGGGGGGCTCACCTGGGCGCGGCGGCCGCGGTTCACGTAGGTGCACATGGGGTTGTAGGCGCCGGTCCCGCACACGTACAGGTGCGTCCGGTTCCAGGGCTGGATGAGCCTGACGAAGTTCCCGCACTCCCCCTGGGCCAGAGGGAAGCCGGAGGTACCCAGGTGCCCGCGGGCCCGCCCGGACCGCCTGCCCCCCCGCCCCGCCTGCCGCCCCCTCCCCCGCCCCGCCCGGCCCTGCCCGGCCCGCCTGCCGCCCCCCCCCGCGGGCCCCGCCGCCGCACTCACGTTGCCATCCTTGCCCGAGAGCACGCACTCCTCGATGCGCTGCGGGGAGGCCGCCCAGTGGATCTGCGGACACGGGGGTCAGCGTGCGGCCAGCCCCCGCCCCGCCCCGCCCCGCCGGCCCGCCTTACGATGAGGGGCTCGCGGTTGATGTCGTGCAGGTCCAGGGACAGCACGTAGTCCTTGCTGCCCACGTACATGCGGTCGTGGTCCTCGTCCTTGAGCAGGATGCGGTAGTCCGTGGTGTTGAGCAGGAAGTTGAAGAAGTGGGCGGTGCCCGTGGCCTTCAGCTCTGGGGGGCGGGGCGGGCAGCAGTCAGGACCCTCGCAGACCGTCCAGTCACACACCCTCGGCAGAGGGGGTCCCCCACACACACACTGGTCATTTCCACCCCGGTCCCGCCTCCGGGGAGCACTCCCCTTCCTCCCTAGTCCCTGACTTTTTTTTTTTACAAAGGAAGGGAAAGGGATAGAGAGTTAGAAACATTGGTGAGCGAGAAACATCCATCGGCTGCCTCTTGAATGCCCCCTACTGGGGATGTGCCCGCAACCAAGGTACATGCCCTTGGCCGGAATCGAACCTGGGACCCTTCAGTTCGCAGGCCGACGCTCTATCCACTGAGCCACACCGGTTAGGGCTCTAGTCCCTGACTTTTAAAAATATATTTTTTATTGCTTTCCGAGAGGAAGGGAGAGGGAGAAAATCAGTGATGAGAGAAGCCCTGAGGGGCTGCTTCCTACACCCCCCACACGGGGGACAGAGCCCCAAACCCGGGCCTGTGCCCTGACCATGACCTTCTGGTTCACAGGTCTACCCTCAACCACTGAGCCACGCCAGCCGGCTCTCGTTGCTGACTTGCTGGGAGGAGAAAGGGCAGCTGGGCCAGCCAGAAAGGGGCCACACCAAAGCTGAACCCCGATCCCTCGGCAATCCCGCCAGCCGGGCCCAGTGCGAGGACAGCGGGCAGGAGCCAGCGAGCGGCATCAAAGCGCCTGCCTGGGCGGGGCCGCGCCCACAGGAGCCTCCGCGGGGCAGGTGAGCTCAGGACAGCCCGCAGACACTGGCACGGAGCCAGGTGCCCGTCCTCACCGCCAGACAGAGGCAAGGCTAGCCCCCCACAGGCACGCGCCCGCAGCCACTCTGCCGCGGGGCTTCCCCAGCCCAGGGTGAGGGGCTCGGTGCTCTGAGCAGAGGAGCGCTTCCTGGGGAAGAGGCCTCGGGAGGGGTGGGGGTGGGAGAGGGGGTGGGACCGCTGAGTCCTGGGTTTCTTTCTTCCTGAGGCCCTCCCTCCCCTGGTCGCTGGGCAGTCCTGGGGGGAAGGACAGGAGGGACTGGCCAGGGACAGGCAGGGGCACACACAGGACCCGGGGCACTTGGGAGAGAGCCAGGGACCCTGGTAAGCGCCCCGCTCCCCCACGGGAGCCCCTCCCCAGCTGGTCTCCGCTCAGCAGGAGGGGAGGTGTGAGGGGGATGAGCACCCCAGCACAGAGGCCTGCGATGGAGCACACAGAGCACACGCGTGTCCGCACAGGGCCCAGGCGTGACTGCACACATGTCCTGAATCGGACGAGGCTATCACCAGGGGCCAGGCCTGACCCGTCCCCCAGCCCACATTTGCTAACCCAGCCCACAGCTAGTTACCGTCTCACAGCTGGTGACCATCTCATACACAGCTAGTTACCATCTCATAGCTGGTGACCATCTCATACACAGCTAGTTACCCATCTCACAGCTGGTGACCATCTCATACACAGCTAGTTACCATCTCACAGCTAGTCATCCCATAGGTGGTGACCCATCTCACAGCTGGTTACCCATCTCACAGCTAGTCATCTCACAGGTGCTAACCCGTCTCACAGCTGGTGACCATCTCACAGGTGGTGACCATCCACAGGTGGGCAATCCCGTGGAGGTCTGGAGAGGGAGAACAGCTGGGCCCAAGACCCTAAAGGGCGGCCTGAGGGAGGCCAGCAGTGCCCCATCCCATCGGTCAGGGTGGTCCGCAGGCAGCTGCTGCTGGGAACAGTACGGAGGGTTGCTGAGGCCGCCGTGGTCAGAGCGCCCGGATGTGCTGGGCTGGGCTGGGCTGGGCTGGGCTGGCTGGGCTGGGGGACGGCAGCCAGGGGACTCCCTCAGCGGCCAGGGCCCATGCCTGCGGGCTGAGGCTGTGCCCGTCCTCCCCGGCTGGGCGGCAGGAACACAGGTGATGACCTTGGCCGACCTCGGGGACGCGAGGGCGCCGGGGATCAAAGGGCCGGTCCGGCTGGCTGGGCCTCGCCCCGGCCCGGCGGCGCCTCTGAAGTCCGGGGCCGGGCGGCTGGGCACCTGCCCGGCACCTGTTGTCGGGCCACTGAGGTCCCCGCCTGGCCGCCTGGCCAGTGACAACAGGAAAGTAAACACTCCCCCCCCAGGAAGTGGCCGGGAGGAAGTGGGGCTGCCAGCAGAGCCCCCCAGCCCGGACCGCCCGCCAGGGTTATTTATACCCTGGCTGGGGGCACAGCGCGCAGGGCAGGGGTGTTTGGGGGACAATGGAGGGGAGGGAGGCGCTGGCACCTTCAGACACACACGCTGGGCGTGGGGGGAGCTCCAAGCATTCAGACCCAGGACGCCACCAGCTCGCCCCCCCTCCGCTGCCCCCGCTCTGGCCTGGGCCTCTAGAATCCAGCCCCCCCCCCCCCGCCATGCTGTGGTTCCCCATTCCCGGCCCCAAGTCCCAGGCCCCCTCAGGCTCAAAGCCCCAGCACCCTGGCCCCCCTGCCTGAGAGGGAGAGGGAGGGCAGACCCCAGCAACAAGGAAACTGGCGGGGGGCGGGGGGACGCGTGGGATCTGACACCTGCCTCTCAGCTCGGTCCAGGGACAGGATGCGGAGGCAGAGGAGGAAGGTGACAGCCAGAGGGCATGGAGGGTGGGCGTCCCATTGAGGCCGTGGCCTCTGGACCGGGGAGGGAAGGCCCAGCCCAGCCAGGCCGGGGGTGGGGATGCCCGCGGGACAGCCAGGCAGGAAGGTGACTCCATCACAGGGCCCATGACTCAGGACCCTGGGCCGGCTCCCGGCGGCCACGGGATATGGCGTCAATGGCTCTGGGTCACAGGACGCGGTGCTGGTGGCTGTGGACACCGGGGAGGCCGGCGGGTGGGGAAGGGCGGGCACAGGGTCAGGAGCCTGGTCTGGCGTGGGCTTCGGCCGGGCAGGCTCTCCGGCTGGGCCTCAGGTCCCCCCTCGGCCGCCCCGGAGCCTCCGAGCTCTGAGGTTCGAGGGCCCGGGTGACAGGAAACGCTAACGCTGAGCATCCCTGCCCCTCCCCCATCCTTTCTGGACCATCTCTGCCTGTGGAAGCAGCCCCCTGGGTCACCATCTATCTACCCTGCCTGTTCTGTGCCCCACTTCCCGGTGCAGGGGCGGGGAGAGCAGAGGGCAGGGGTTCCTGCGGACTCAGCCCGGCCATCCCTAACGCCATCCTGGCTCTACCCGGTCCCGACCCCCAGGAGCAGAGCGAGACCCGAACACCCTGAGGGGGAGGAGCCCCCCAGGCCCCGGCGGCTAGGGGCAAGCGTCCATCCAGACTGTGGGGAGAACTAAACCAGGCCGTCCCAGCGCAGCCCCGGTCCGCAGTGCGCTCCCGCAGGCCCGGGGGTGGGGTGGGCAGTCAGCAGGTGTCCGGCCCTCGAAGGAGCAAGGACTGGGCCGAGGGCCTGGGGCCGAGGGGCACCGGTGTGTGTGCTGGCTGCCCTGACCCAGCCTGGTGACCCCTCAGGCCAGCCCCCGCTCCGCGCCTCGCGCCCCACTGGCCCAGGCCCAGGCCCAGCTCGGAGGGCAGGGTGCCCTCCCAGGGCAGTGCCGAGGGAGGGGCAGGGGTGCGGTTCAGACTCTCTGGGTGCTGGGACTCCAGCCTGGGTGACCTCTGACCCCGGGGAGGGAGGGTGATGGGCCTGGGGAGCCTCCGGAGCGCCCCGCCCCCCCTCACCGGCTGGACACAGGCTGCGTGGGCAGCGTCCGGGAAGGCTTTCCCGTCACGGAGGAAGGAAGAGCCTCTTCTGGCATCAGACACCTCATTTCCGCAGCCCCGCCCGCCCCCCACAGCCATTCCAGGCCCCAGGCCCCAGGTCCCGCCAGGATGCTGGCCACGGCCCCTGGGCAGCTGGGGGCTGAGCTGGGTCCCGGGCAGCTCTGGGGGCAGCTGATGCTGCCTGGCTTCAGGGAGGCGGGTCCCCAGACACAGAAAGGGGCTCTGGGGAGGTGGGCACCGCCCCCGTGGTTACCGCTCACAAAGCAGGGCGCTGACTGACAGGCCCCGCCCCCGGCTGTGGGGTGATGGACAGGTCCCCGCGGCCCACCCTGACCTCCGCCCTCCCGTGGGCTGGCGCAGCCCTGATCCCGGCTGAAAGAAACGCGGGTGCTGGCGGGGCCTCGGTCCTCCCCTCGGTCCTCCCCCGCCTCTGAGGAGGGACACTGAGGCGGCAGGAGCCGGCAGCGGGACACGGCATGAGGCAGAGTGCGGCCAGTTCCCCGGACCCCGGGGCCCCAGCCCTGCTCCCTCCCCGACAGCGGCGAGGGGCCCCGGAGGGAGGCCCGGGCAGGCTGGCCCCGGCTCCCTGTCTCATCCGCTTTACTGAGCGGCCGGCCGGCCTGGAGGCCTCAGCCCTGGCCACAGCCCTGCAACCGGAACCAGGAGCCAGCCCCTGAGCTAGGGGCAGGGCAGCCCCAAAGGTCTGCACACAGCTTCCCCCTGCCGGGCAGACACCCCTCCCCCGACCCCGGGCCAAGACGCCAGCACGTGGGCCCTCCCTTGGGTCCCAGCTGTTCAGGTCCAGGTCTCCGGTGCTCTCCCAGGCCCCCCGCCCCCCAGGATGTTGGGGATGGGAACCCCTAGAAGCCAGGTCCAGGGGGTCTGCCTGGGGGCACAGGCTCTCTGAGCCCACCCCTGGGCCAGGCTCTCCAGACCGGAGGGAGACCCAGAGGGCTCCCCCCACCCCAGCCACCCACATGCCCCTCCTTCGCCCCCAAGCAGGTGAGCAGGTCGGTGCCAACAATGCCAATTACAGCCGCTCTCGCCCAATTAGCAGCTAATTGTGGCCTCTCGTCCATTCTGCGTAATTAACATGTAAATGACTCCGCGTGTTTGTGCTCCATAACCACTCCGCCTGAATCTGATTTAACCGTCTGTCCGCACTGGGACCCAGAGCTGCCACTTCCTGGGACTCTTCTGGAGGGGCAGAGTGGAGGGTGGAGGGGCAGGTGCCTCCGGCTGCCAGCCTGGCCGGGCGGGGACCGTGCCGCCGGCATCCCTGAC